CTGATAATTACAGCATAATTAGCATTTTCTATATCTCTGTTTGTGTTCCAATGAATTTGTATCTAGTTTATTTCCATTTGGTCGTACCATCTTTAGAAATATTCTACAGTATATTTTTTACCAACAAATATTTACAATTAGGATATACATAGATTAAACAATAACCTTACAGTACAGGAATATTCTAAAACCTTATAAATCACTTCAAACTAAATAAAAGAATACCAATATTAAATATTTCATAGAGCTAAACAAACAATAAATGGAAACTATTAAGTTACAGATCCTCAGCCTTAACATCCAATACTGGAATCATGTTCATATTCAAAATGATACTTAATTATTAATATGTTGTAGACTACTTGCTTACCATTTCTTCCTTAGCAATATTTTTTGTATTGTTTCTTAAATTCCTTAAATTTTTTAGATAATGTTTCAATTTAAAATAAGTACACTGCAACACAGGCAAACACTGGCAATGCAGACAATAACAGTGTTAATGTTAATTTGAGTTCAGATTTTATTTTGTCAGATGTTATTGGTATACCATTGTTGTATTGTTGTAATATTATCTTGCAATAAAACAACAATAAGTATTAATTGGCTGCCTTGCTTTTTAAATGGTTGGTCTGTACGTCCATCATAAAAACACCAATAGTTATATATTTTAGAACTTATACCTGCAGATATCTTCAGCAACAAGTCAATCTATAGAGCCATCTTTCTGTAGAGTGCAAACACACATAAACATGAACACACCTTTCTGGTATTATAACTGAGGTACACAGAGGGCAGACCTGAAAGCCTCACCTCTGACTCCCTCCAAACCTTAGACCTTTCCAATAATCACATCCAAATGAGTGCTCCACACCCGGGATGATCACAGCTCTAATCCCCATACTCATGTGGGGTAAAGCTACCAATTGTTTCTGTAGAGTAATTGCTACGCATAGTAATTATCCTCCATAAACACTGTTGCTACATGCCCCCCTGAAGAACCAGCTGTAATTATTTCCTTTGAAAAGGGAATTTTTCATTGCCTTAAATGAAACCACTTAGTGCGTTGGTAACTTTTAAGGTTTTTTGCAGTGTTGTAATGAGGGGATATTCTTGTTAAATAGAGCCTCGGCAGACTTCCCTTTCAAAGCATGGTGGCGGTTTGAAAGAGAGTTAGAGAAAGAGGGAGAGATAATGGGAGGGTGGGAGGGATGGCTGTAGGAAAGGAAGTGGAAAGTTTATCGGCATTTCAAGGTTGTGATGAATCCTATCCACATGTGAAGCATCATTGACCACATTGCTCTTCATGGGCTATAAACAACAAACTAACAATTGCCTGCTGGCCACACATGCACCTGTATTTATACACTAATTCTTCCTCTACTGTGTTCTGCTGCAAATCTCCACGGTGGCTGCGTGATGCATGCTGACACCTTTATATAAATTATGAAAGCATAGACCAAATCGGGCATTAGTCTCTGTCTGGCTCCAACAAAAACACACTGGGACCACCTTCAAGCTTTCCATCGGTGAATAAAAAAGTGAGGATAAATCAAGCTGTCAAATATTTTTGCATCGACCTGCAAACTGCCGGATTAAAAATAGTCCTTGTGCTTACAAAAGCTCTGCCACCCACTCTCTATGGTTCAACTTATTGCATCCACCACGCCCCTCCACCTAGAGAGAAAGAGAAACTCACTCCAAATCAATTAGAGGTGATTTATGCTGTTTTACGACGGTTATTTATCTCTCCCAATATCCAAAAGGAAGGACCATAAGGGGTTTTGGAGGACAATGATTAATTTAATCAAGTGTGAGTGAACTTTCTCCAAAAATCATGCCGCTCCAACAGATAATCCGCTTTCCCTGAAACGTTTCCAACAGGATTAGCCCCCAAGGGAAGCCTGGATGCGTTATACAGGGAAGAAAGAAAGAGAGGCAGAGCAAGAAGGAGAGAGAAAGGAGATAAATTGAGAGAAAACAGACAGAGAGAGGGTGAGACACAGGGGGACAGAGATGCAGGAATAGAGGGGCAGGTTTGAGAATGACATTCAGAAGGGGAACATGCCTGGAAAAAGGAAAAACTAAACATATTGAATTTAAGTATCAATAAAGATTAATTTCGGTTTGGAAAACATCAGAGTAGATATAAGTGATGGAAAACAGAATGGATGGACTTCGACATAAAATTGTTACTTGTGCATTTACATTTTTTGGAAGAAATTAGGTCTTATGATGGTGGCAAAGTTAAACTGTTTCCTCCTTAAGTTCACCTCAAACTGGAAGAGTTGAGCTGCTCACTTGCCCACAGCTGTTTAAATGTGTGGCATTTTCTGCCTGTGAGTTTACAGCTTAGACATTAAAGGTCACCTATCACGCTATTTTTAGGCAATAGCATAGATCTCAGATATATAAAAAAATGTAAAAAATATGTCTCTGAAGTTTTTTAAACTGAAAGAAATACAAATAAGAGGGGGCGGAGCTTATGCCGGCTCATGCGGGACTTGGCAGATACTGTCTAAAATGCTGCGGTGATGAAACGCAAGGATTATTAGATCAAGGTAATCCTTGCGTTTCATCACCGCAGCATTTTAGACAGTATCTGCCAAGTCCCGCATGAGCCGGCATAAGCTCCGCCCCCTCTTATTTGTNTCCTGCAACGGACAGTTTTCTGTATTTCCCTTTATCCTGTTATATGACTTGATCGCTTTAAACTCCGCACAGTGAGCTCTGATTGGTCAGCAGGCGGTGCTTTCACTGAGTTGATCTCTTATCCTGGAACCAAGGAGCAGGTTTGCCGTTAAGCATAAGTTACCATGGAGATCTAGCCCGGTAAGAAGTGAACCAGCGTCGTAGGACCGGAAACCCAGAGTTTTCCCTGAAGTTAGCTCGCTAAGCGAAAATCCGGCTTCGCAGTACAGGCCTCTGCAGACACATGTTTCAGAAGTAAACAAAGGAGTCCTATTGAGTCGTTTCAGGCAGGGGGGGGAGTGAGTGGGAAAGAAACTCCCTCTTGAGTAAACTATTAGATTTTAGATTTTGCAGACCATTATCATGCACAAAAATCCCATATAACCCACTACAGGAAAGGGAAAACCTGAAAAGCAGGTTAAGGCCCCTTTAAAGTTTGTTTAATTATTTGTAGGACAATTAATTGTCAACCAAAATTAAAAATAGTATTGGCCCTAACAATGCAGCTCTCAATATTGACGACAGAGCTATACTTTATGACATCGTTGCAATAAATTATCTTTATTTTTTTCCCCACAGGAAACCCTCCTAACTACACACAGCTGAGATCATAATAAGGCAAGCAGAATGAATATACTTAAAAAATATAGGGTCTCTGTTTATATTCCTGTTTACGTTACATGCAAACACACACGTATGCATTAAGTATGCCCATATGTGCCTCCTCTATTATTTCATTGTGTGCTCTCTGTATGTGCATACATTTAGAAACGTATCTCTCAGCACAGCGTGCATTTATAAAGCTCAGCTTGTTCCTGTGTATTCCTGGAAGAGCTTGTTTGTTTGGGAGCGATAATAACATCTCACCTCACCCAATGCTGTCCTGCATACTGGCAGGCAGCAAATCAAAGTGCTCTGCATGTGAGAGAGGCCTGTTTGGCTGCTAGCCTTTGTGATTGTACGTGCTACTGGTTGGATGTAGCAGGATTTTACAACAAATCATTACAGAACTCAGCAAAGCAGCAGAGAGCTGCAGGGGAACGAAGTTTCATTTTCAACATGGCCACAATATGATTTATTGCACCAGTGGATTTAATATATATTTATGAAAAAAGTTGGGAGCAAAGGCCGCTTCAGCAGACTTGATTCAATCTACTAGGAAATACTTTAAGGTAGACACCTTATATACAACACAGCTTATTAAAAAGAAAAACAAGGCAAATAAATATGCAAATGATTAAAAATAGAAAGATTAATTAATTAATGAAAAAGCTTAAAAATAAATAAAGCTATAAAATGTAAAGAAAATGATTTATCCTAAACAGGAATAGTGTAAAAATAAAAGTTAGATACAAATAAAAAAAAAGTAATACATTTTAAATTGTTCTGCATGTGATTCTAGAATAATTCAAATCCAGCCCATAATGCCTTACAACATACAAATTGTGTCTTTTAATTAATCTGACTTTTAATTATTTTCTTGATCAGTCTCATTTTCTATGTTTTCCATAAAATCTCGATACATGTCCACCATAATTTTGCAGAACGAACGGAAATATTATTACAGAATATCATTATTATTTAAAACCAATGAATCAGCAAATCAGTTTCAGAGAGTAGAACGAGCGAATAGTTGGCATTTTAGCTTGATAATGACTCAAACAATGAATAGATTTGTTTTTTTATAAGATAAAGATCAAACGATATTGTTATCTTATAAAATCCAATGTGTCATTTTTGATTCCTCGAGTAGAACCAAATAAAAAAAATCTGTCTCAGCCCACCAATAGAAGACATTAAATTGCAGTATTGCATATTATTTTGTGATATAAAAGATAAATCTGACTTTGTTGAGTGATAGGAAGAAAAATACAGGGTGCAAGACAGTAGTCCCTGCTGCTCTCCTGTGATGAACCTGAACATCTACCACCATGGCAGTTCGTACCTGAAGCCTGGGATCATTTTGGCGAAGCCGATGACCTTCTGGATGCTGTAGGACACCAGGTCTGCCAGGTGGGGCAGCATGGAGAGCTTCTGGTCCTCCTCGCTGGAGTCAGGGCTGCTCGCCCCGTCCTGGTACATCATCAACAGGCTGGTGAAGTTCATCTTGGTGTCCACAGACTCTGTTTGAGGAGACGATAGGACACAAGATGAACAACAAGGTAAGGAGAGGTGACAGAAAGGAACATTCCTAACATTATAAGCCAGGGGTCGGCAACCCCTGGCACGCGTGCCAGCATTGGCACGCGGCACCGTAACCAGTGGCACACTAGGAATAAGTGGAATAAGTGTGCAAAATATTTAAATTAATTTTCGGATCCTGAACGCGAGACCGCCGCCAGAGCGCGTCTCCCCGTTAAGGAAGCCATGCCCGCAACGCAGCCCCGCTCTCTTTATCTCCAGGTGACTTTCTGCCGCTTTCCTCCGTGGTGCAGTGCTGATCGTTTCACCACGGAGGAAAGCACTTCACTAATTGCAGTACCCATAAGGAGCTGTACAAATGACGCAGTTTTTGCGTGGCTGTGTATTTAGTTGAAAGCCCAGTGGCGATCTGCTCATCTCTCATCTAAATAATATAAAGGGCCATCTGTGTGTTGAACTTTCCTGTCGGCTCCCAGACCGTAGTCGAGGAGGGCAGAAGCAACAAGCTTCAGCTTCAATAACCCACTTTAGCTTAAATGACTGGAGAGAGGCGAGCTGTTCTTGGGAGGACGTTGCATTTATTTAGCTGTTCTTCTGTTTCACAAAATACTAGGGGTGCACCGAATGGGAAATTCTTGGCCGAAACCGATACCGAAAATAGGAACCGGTTGGCCGAAAACCGAATGCCGAAAGGCCGAAAATGATTAATAGAAATATATATATATATATATATATATATATAATGTATACATTTTTTACCAATGTTGTTCAGCTG